GGACACTATCAATATTACCTTAAGCGGTAGGATACTCCACTCTCTCCAACACGTGGCTTCTGGCTTTGAACACTGCAGGCTGTCAACAGATGTATTTGAAAGTGGTTGCCAACACTCATCCATTGCTGGTGGGAATGCAAATTTGTGCAACCACTTTGGAAAGCAGTGTGGCGGTTTCTCAGGAAATTCGGGATCAACCTACCCCTGGACCCAGCAATACCACTCTTGGGAATATACCCAAGAGAGGCCCTATCATACAACAAAAGTATATGCTCAACTATGTTCATAGCAGCATTGTTTGTAATAGCCAGAACCTGGAAACAACCTAGATGCCCTTCAATAGAAGAATGGATGAAGAAAGTATGGAATATATACATATTAGAGTACTACTCAGCAGTAAAATACAATGACTTCTGGAATTTGGCATGCAAATGGACGGAAATAGAAAACACTATCCTGAGTGAGGTAAGCCAGACCCAAAAAGAGGAACATGGGATGTACTCACTCATAATTGGTTTCTAGTCATAAATAAAGGACATTGAGCCTATAATACTTGATCCTAGAGAAGCTAAATAAGAAGGTGAACCCAAAGAAAAACATATAGGCATTCTCCTGGATATTAACCCTCATCAGGCAATGAAAGGAGACAGAGACAGAGACCCACATTGGAGCACCGGACTGAAATCCCAAGGTCCAAATCAGGAGCAGAAGGAGAGAGAGCAAGAGCAAGGAACTCAGGACCTCAGGGGGTACACCCTCACACTGAGACAATGGGGATGTTCTATCGGGAACTCACCAAGGCCAGCTGGCCTGGGTCTGAAAAAGCATGGGATAAAACTGGACTTGCTGAACATAGCATACAATGAGGACTACTGAGAACTCAAGAACAATGGCACTGGATTTTGATCCTACTGCACGTACTGGCTTTGTGGGAGCCTAGGCAGTTTGGATGCTCACCTTACTAAACCTGGATGGAGGTGGGTGGTCCTTGGACTTCCCACAGGGCAGGGAACCCTGATTGCTCTTTGGGCTGACTAGGGAGGGGGACTTGATTGGGGGAGGGGGAGGGAAATGGGAGGCGGTGGCGGGGAGGAGGCAGAAATCTTAAATAAATAAATAAAATAATAATAATAAAAAAAGAAAGTGGTTGCCATAACTGAATCAGCCACATGAGAGCCACATCTTCACACTTTGAAAATCCCAGATGCCTGAACTGTTGTGCTGTGGACTGGTCATTTAATGATGATTTAACATCCACAAATCCTCGTCACTGCATTAAGAGAGCATGAAGCAAGCTTAGGACGAGCTAGATTTAGGAGATTATCTCAAGCCTACTTTCCTCCACTTTCCACACAAGTGGATTGTTTACCAGAGAAGCCCTCGGGCAAGCAGTAGGTAGACAGCCGTCAGATGAAGTCGTTTATCACCAGGATGTCATAGTGTTCTTTCAGATGCACTGAACTAAGCATTTGTATATATGATGATACAGTAAGCAGTGACTACCCCCTGTGTTCCAGGCAAGGGACTCTAAAGACATCATCTAAATTCCTACCCTGTGAGGTGGGAACTATGATTGTTCTCAATTTAAAAATGACTTCACTAAGGATCTGAAACCCCTGTAACCTACACAGAGCCACACACATCCGATGTGTAATAAAACTTAGATTTGAGTAAAATCTGTTTGACTCCCAGGATATAACACACATGCACACATTCACACATATTCTGTTCCTGTTGAAAGCAGTGAGACCCCAGATCCTGAATTTCTTGTAATCCCCTGATCTGAGTGCCTACAGCTGCTCTGAGCACCAGACCCTCAGGAGTTCCTGATGGCAGGAGAGTGGTTTCTGGTGGGTTTGGCTGGGGCGTGGCCATCTCTATATAATCTGCCCCTGAACACAATAAAGGGGGAATTTTTGGGGAATTCAAGGATGACCCGTGTCGCTGTCTCTCTGTCTGTGTGTGTTTGTGTATTTTAACCTCCAGCCCCTTGCCCGAAGCTCGGGAACTGGGTGCCAGTGCACAGAACACAGACGCTGGGGTGCGGTGCGCGGCATGTTCCTCCCTCCTCCCCCCCCTTACAGATGTTCATGACCCAGTGCACTGGTTTTCCTCCTACATAGTCTGCCCAAGGCCCCCCCCCCCTTGAACTTACAACTTGTCCTGTATCTCTTTGATGATCTGGAAAATGAGAGATTTTGCAAACCAAAAGTAGACTGAAACAGTCTCAGGGTTTATCCTAAAGACTACAGACAGTAGCTGATTAAACCTATACACAGAGATTATTTTTAAACTATGTTTAAAGTGACCATGATTATCTTCCATTCTGTGGGTGGTTTTCTATTCTTAGATTTAGGTAGCAGGGTAGCATGACTCAGAGCTTGAGTCTGAGAGGCAGACAGCAAGGACTCAAGCTTTAACTTCATCATGGTTGAATCTGACAACCTTGGCCACCTAACATACTCTTTCTAAGTTTCCTTACCTGTAAAGAGGAGCTTGGAGAACCCCGGCTTTGAGTTGTGTGAGGATTAAATGGACAAATTCCTGTATGAAGTTAGGAAAGAATCTGGCGGGGGCCAGAGTACTAATAAATGTCGTGGGTTGGTATCTCCAGAGGCTAACGAGGAAGCCTACAGCTGAACAACTGCTCATCCGTTCGTTTCCCTACTCGATGCTTAATTCCTTTCTTCATTAAAAATTCACTAATTATCTAATAAATAGTAGGCCTGTGCTTGATGATACGGCAGCCAAAGTGATGATAGGACAACGATGCCGTTTAAAAGACCACAGGGCTCAACAGAGAGATACAAAAATGTGTAAAAATAACTATAGCGGTTGGAGGTGTTGCTTCCTAGGATGTGGGCATCATGGATTCGATCTTTATTCCCACCAAAATGAAATAAAACTTGAGACAAGAACAACAATTATAGCACAGAATAGAAATGCTTAGTGCAGAAGAGGTTCAGATATCGCAGGGAAGAGTTCTACAGACAGAGTCACATCATCAACTTCCAGGACCTGCTCACAGCTACAGACCAAGTCTGTCCTTTCTGTCTTTATTAACAAATTATTAGAAACATGTTTATGGTTAGGAGTGAGAGGTGTGTGTGTGTGTGTGTGTGAGAGAGAGAGAGAGAGAGAGAGAGAGAGAGAGAGAGGAGAGATATTGATTCTAGCCTCATTTCCATATTTGAAGCATTTTTTAAAGTTACATACATTTAAATGAGTGACATTTGTTCCTAATTTGTCGGCATTATTATTACTTTGTTTTTAAAAATAGGCTGTGATTTACAAATTTTGGTAGCTAGTTAATGTGCTGTTAACACTCAAATTTTCTTTGCTTTTAAAATTCACTTATTCTTTCAGTCTTTTGAGTATTTGAGCCATATAAAATGTTTACAATATGCCACAGGAGTGTGACGATTTACATTAAATCAGGACTCAAATGGCTCCTGATATTTTGTTACTAATCATGACACTATAAAAATTGTCCTCAGGAGAAAAACCTAGGAAGGATTTTACAGAAGGCCATTACATGTCAGAGAATGTTTTCCTCTCAGAATCAGTGCTAAGAAATATTAGGAAGTACGGGGCTCACAAATCATAACGCAAGCACACTTCAATGTGGTTCTAAGTGAGATGGAACATCTTTATCCCCTTTCGGTTTCTGCAAAGGCGGAATGTCCCTGCCTGTGGTTTTCCTGGGTGAGTTGTCACGACAGGCTAACCTAAGTGTGTGTGCCATGCTACAGTAAGAAAGCTAACTTTGGAAGGAGAGAAATTAAGATAACCTTGTGGAGCCAAGGAAGCTGTGGGTCTGCATTCTGCTATGAATATTTTGAAAATGACTCAATTTTAAAATGAGTGGTATTTTATGGCTGTAACGGCTTGTAAGTCACTCAGGTTCCAAAAGCTACTAATCGCAATTGCTGAGAAGAGCATTAGTGCAGTTTTTGCCCTCCTGCTGGTCCCCAGGCTTGCTGCTCATTCACTTCTAGTCCCTGAGATGCATTAGTGTGAGCTCTAAAGACAGGCAGATGCCTTGAGGGCAGATACACTAATATAGTTTCAAAGTATCCCTTCCTTTCATCTGCTACCTTACAGAGAAAATGTAGCATGCCCAAAGGTGCTCATGTCTGCTTTTTCAGTCTTTGGAACAGAAGCCTCTGACCCCAAGCTAAGCACATTCTGGATGGGCCAACCACCTTACCTTTAAAATCTTTGACCTTAAGCTGAACATACTCAAAAGTATTCTGCTCACATGGCAAGCCTCAAATTCTTACCCATGTACATAAGTACAGACTCTTTAAATAACAACCCCACACTTCCTTTGTTAGACAGGAGATGCTGCTTTGTGAAGGAGCCCACACTCTATCGGCAGCAGTGAATCCATGCTCTTCCGTTTTGACTGCTTGGTCCTGCTTGTTCTTGGCTCAAACTCACCAAGAGACAGCCCATTGCGTTCAGATGTGTTTACAATGTAGCATTTGTCACAGTCAACCTCTACAATGTATTTCACGGTATAGTTTTGACTAAACATGCTATGTAGGCAGACTGAATACTTTCTCCATACTTGTTTACCCATTATTCCATTTTATTTATAGCATATGAATTTTTGGTGACGGCACAATGAGTGTCTAAAGAACAACCAAGAGTAAACGCAAGTCATGGCTTATTCCGTGCTTCAAAAGAGAACTTTAAAAAACAAAAACCAAAACCAGATAAACCCTATTAGCCATGTTCAATCAGAAGTGTTTCAGCTATTTTTGTGACATCCTCCAGGGCAGATGTTACAGAATTCTCAGACAGTTTTATATGTAGAGGTTTACAGGTATTATAAGGTTCTCAAACACCCAGATAATTTCAGAACAACTTCCAACTTCTACGGTACTTGTATTAGGATAAGGCCTAAGGTGAGCACACTTCATTCTTGGGCTCCTTTCTGCTCATGCAGAGAAGCCCAGCACTCTTGGAGTATGCTTTGGTACTTTGTTACTTACGGTTGAGGGGCAGGCTCGCGTTCGTTGTGCCCAGTTTATTGGCAGCCACACAGGTATAGTTGCCGAAGTGCTCCTGTGTCACGTTGGTCACCGTGAGGATGGACCTTGTGCTAAAATTCTGAATGATGATTCCTTGTTGGCCATTGAAGAGCCTGGAGGACAGAATACACTCTAGTAAGTATGGGTCTTGAACATCAGCTTCAAGCTCAGTTTAGGCAGAGTTGCTATGGAAACCTGTAAGCTTCAGTGTCACCACTTCTACATGGACCTCAGCAACACTTCTGTTACTCTGGTGGATTTGAAAAAGGCAGGCTTAAGAGCTGTCCTTTGCTCTCATGGATTAGCAAGCCAGACCTTGATCTTCATGTGTTCTCTCCCTAGTGTACGAATTAACCCAGCAGAGCAAATGCTTCCCATCTGTCAAAGCCCAGGAAGAAGAAAAAGGACATAGATACTGGCCCAAAAGCTGGGTCAATCACATCTGCATAAGTTGACTGGTTTATAGGAGCCTAAGACATTTTAGATGACATTCATGGGTAACTTCTCTGAAATCATATGTTACAACTGTGATAGGATTCAAGTCAAAAGTCAACGCCATATAGCTGTTGCCATGGACACCAAGGCAGAGATGACTTCCTTCAACCTAGAGAGAGAAGCATAGCAATGCAGAGGATTTTAGGATTGACTTCTCCTTGATACTACTACTGACTTCCTGAATGTGTCTTGCCAAACAAAGCATCTCAGGCCCTCATTCAAGTGAGCTGGCCCAGCTCCATGGTTTAGTAACAGGTAGCATCTCTCCATTTCTGCTTCTTCCTGATTCAACCCTTGGCGCTCAGCTCCTACTGTTCCTGTTGCTCAGACCTCATGTCATCTGGTCTGTGTTCTATTGTTTCTTAAAGGACTCTCTTCCCTGTGCAACCTACTATTTCATTGCTCTTCAGTTGGCACATACATTAGGTTTCCTGGACAGACTGAATTTTTTTGAAGCTCCTAAAAAAAAAGTCCAGAGTACAGGGGCATGCTTTGTATGACATTGGAATTGAGTGCCATTCACAGTAGTGTCCCAAGTACATGCATATATAGGTCAATGGAGTATGGGAACATGAGAGGAAGCCAAAGGGAAGATGTTTTCTTTATAAATATAGGTTCTGCCTCATGGAAGATAAAACCAGGTTTTACCTTTTTTTTTTTTTTTTTTTTTTTTTTTTTTGCTAATCTCAGACTTATGTAAAAGAGATACAGTAATACAGGTTGGGTAAATTCCCCCTGCAAATGGCCAGGTAGATTTTCCTCTTGTGTATGTTTCTGTACCATATGTGTCTGATCATGAAGAAGCTCATACATGGCCTCCATGGAATATGCACTGACCTATTCTCTCTAGCTCACACTGAATCTTAACAAACCATTCTACTTGTAATAAAAATCAGAAGTAGCAAGATATGATTACTCTGGGCATTACTTCAATTTCCTTAGTGGTTGAATTTGACTTATTCAAAACATAAACTTTAAACAGATTAATAAAACTTTAGTAGAATAAGGATTAAACAAAACTTAAACTTCAACAGTAATAATGATTCCCAATTTTAAATAAGAATATAGGATGAAAATCAAAACGAAAATGTGTGATAAATTCTTAGTGCCTTATTATAAGCTTTCATGCCTCACATTAATAACCTTTAACCAATGGATTAATTAATTAAGTAATATAATTTGGTTTTCAAAGATTGTTTACTTACTATGTATACAGTGTTCTGCTTGAATGCCAGAAGAGGGCACCAGATCTCATTACAGATGGTTGTGAGCTACCATGTGATTGCTGGGAATTGAACTCAGGACCTTTGGAAGAGCAGGCAATGCTCTTAACCTCTGAGCTATCTCTCCAGCCCTAAGTAATATAATTTGATGCCTGAGATTGAACCCAGGGCTAAGTGAACACTCTACCAACTGGGAAAAATCTACATGCATCCCTTTAACTTCTTTATTTGAAAATGATTGTATATAATACATGTTCAGATCAGTTTCATTTCCCTGCCTGCATTGGTACTGGGATTTAAGTCACTGTGGCCATGTCTGTGATAGATATATTTTCCGAGGGCTCTGAAATTTCCTGGATTTCTGAATTCCCAATGTGCCCCAAACCAGAACTACCTTGTTCCTACAGAACTGAGAAGAAATGAACTAGAATCTTCTACTTGAACTCTGAGATGTTCTCAAGGGAGCGCATTCAGAAGCGCTCTTGATTGTCTTTGCCATGGCTTTCTCTCTGGGTGCCTAGCTTTCAGTTTCCTGCTCTACAGATGTAGCTGAGTCATGCATCAGTATGCCCACGCTCTGTGCAGCCCCTGCTAGAACATCCCAGCAGTAGCATCTGCACCGTTACCACAGCAGCACTGGAGAGCACCAGCCCACCAGCCGGGAGATGATGAGGACGCTGAGAGAGAAGCGTCTTCCCTCAGGACTGTCTCTGGGGGAAGCTGCTTTCCTGAAATTAATGAAGTCTATAGCTAACTTCCTTCTACAGCTGGAAGTTGCAGAACTGTTGATCCCGTAAACACCCTTTAAGAAATGCTCCTCCCCTGGAGTGCTTTGCAAAGCTGTCTTTGAGACAGTGTAACTACCAAAGTGGTTTGTGTGTCCAGAGGATGTGCCTCGGTGACTTTATCACAGGCCTGAGAGTTTTATCAAATAGTCAATCAATTCTGAAAATGTTTGCTAAGCAATTATGGATGAGGAGGGTTCTATGTCAAGGGGTCAGAAACTAGATTATCATAAAGTCTGGCTTTCCAAAGGCTGAAACCAAGGAGAAGAAGCAGCTCTGCCACAGATGAACCCTACCCTAGGCACTGAATGCCAAACTAAGAGCCCGCTTAAAAGCTCTAGCATGTATGACATTAATGTGATCAAAACCAAATAGTGAATATTTTAATTGCTGACTTTTTTTTGAAAATTTATTTCAAGATGATTCTCTGTAACTATATATTTTTTTTTGTAACTATATTTTTAATGAAGAGACTTTCTTAGGTGAGAACCTAGGGACGTTGGTTCGGCACTGCTTGAGAATGCAAACCTGAGTTTGATCCCCAGCATTTTATAAGAGGGGTGTGACAGTGCACACTTCTAATTAGGAGGTGGAGACAGGGCAAGCCCTCTGAAGCTTCAAGGTCATCCTTAGTCACAGAGGAAGGTGATACCTAGCCCGGCCAGATGAGGTTCTTCAGATAAAGAGGTAGAGTCAGGTGGTGGTAGCACACACCTTTAATCCTAGCACGTGGGAGGTGGAAGCAGGTGGATCTCCATGAGTCTGGGGCCAGCTTGATCTACAGAGTGAGTTCCAGGACAGCTAGGACTGTTATACAGAGAAACCTTGGGTAAAGCCAAAAGAATAAAAAAAAATGAGATAGTGATAGACATATAGACAAACATTCTCTTATATTGTTTTATACTGCCTGATGGTTTCTTGTACCCTTTCACTACCAGGAAGAGACTCTCTGCTGAAGTAGGAGTTAACATCATGCACCAGGATTCCTGCTCCTGACAAGAACAGCCAGAGCATGTGGTACTTACAGGGAAGTACCTGTCCATTTATCCTTGTTGATGTTCACCAGGATAACTTGGGTATAAGATCCTTCAACTACTCAGACCCTGCTGTCCTCCACTCCTGGTATCAGACCAGTTTGCTTCAAATTGAGGGCCATGGCTCTGACTCTCTGTCTTTTGCCAATGCCTAATAAATCTGAGAGTTTCAGGCTGATTTGCTTTGCCAGCATCTTCTGTGGGCTACCGAGAACAGAGCCCCACGAGGAATCACTGTATTAGAACAGAGTCCTGTAGTTTCCAGCGCCTGGAGTAACACATGGAAACCAGGGGCACATAGCCACCAAGTGATCACAAATTATGGCCATTACCTCCTTTGGGCTATAGCTATCTAAGGTGACCAGGAGAGCCAGTAGCAACTTCACCAGAGAAAATGCAACAGCAGTGTCAGCATCAACGGCTAAGATTGCAAACATAACTAGGGCCGGGGCATTGTGCCTCACTCGGTCTCGGGCCTGGGGGACTATTGCCTGCTCTTTCTTTCCAGGCCAGAATTAACACTAAACACCATTGGCCCAGAGTCATGACTGTATTTCTGTTCTCACCATGTATGGGAATGCTTCACATATATGTGGATGTGGTAATTGCTCTCAATACATAACCGAAAATCTCCAGTATTTGTACATGAATGTGCGGTGTCAAGATATTCATTCAGTGAAAACTTGCTGAGAAGATGAATGGATGTTCTTGGCAACCACAGCAGATAGGTGCTATTAGTCCTAGTTCAGAGAAGAGGAAACAGAGGTTTAGAAGGATGAAGCTAATTCATCTTCTATCAATGTTTAAATCAGGCTCTCCTCTGACTGTAGATGTACACCCATCACAACAGTTAGTGTTGACCTCTTCAAGCAGAAACTGGGTGTTGTGTTCGAGTCCAGGAAACAGATACTGCAGGAAAGCTGAGTTGGGCCATGGAACAAAACAGCGGAGTGAAAGAGTGAGCTGACATGCTGCAGCCACGCCAGGAAAGCTGGGCTCTCTCCAGGTGGAGAGTCTAACGGGGTAGAAAGTCAATGCACAGCAAGCTTTGATTCTGGGGGCTTCCTGGATATCTTTCTGGGCCTCGTGACAAATTCTGGGACTTAGTTCTGCTGTGAGTGAGGCTATGCACACAGCTGCCGCTGGCCTCCCCTGGAGTCAGTCTCTAAGGTTGCACATAGCTTGAGATGAGGAGCTACAAATGCTCTCTTCCTCCCTCTGGAGCCCTGCCCTAACATGCACCCCACTGACAGGAGTGACTGCTTGTGGTATAATCTGTATAATTGGGGAGGGGATAATGTCTCCTTGTGCAACGTGTTCAAGAATGGCAGCAAATCAGTCATGGACCAAAAATGTGACTTCTTTAGTTATGAAACTGTCTCTAGAGTTCAAGTTCTGTAGAGTTGTGGTGTTGCTGAGCTCAAACCCGACTTGGCTGTGTTAGCAGCTGAACGTCAGTCACGTCTCCTCATGTGGATTTAGCTGCACATCTTCAGACATTTTTCTGCATACTTTGGGTTCCTGTCCATCTTGCCTGTGAGTGTGGAACTCTTTAGTGAAAACATTTCTCAATGCCTTTGTTGTTTATTGTACCCTAAGCACATTGTAGAATAGTGCTGGCCAGTTAAAGCATGGCACACAGTGATTGTCACAGGCTTGGCTACGTAAATTAGGCCGTTACATCCTTATAAATCTCTATGCTTTCATCTGTGAAATGGGAGAAACTAGCCCAGTAGCAAACCACGGGTGTAAAAGTTGTTTTTAAATGGCGATGTGTACTCAAACGTGTACCTCAAATGTAGAGACCAGAGTAGGACATGGGAAACCACTGTTCAGTGACAGGGTCTGTTCCTTAGGAAGGACACACTGCTTCTCAGACCACAGCCACATATTCAATATTGAATATACAGGAAATTGTTTTTAAATATTTAAATTATTTTTAAAGCCAGGTAAGTGAAGGAAAATATCACAGTGTTGTGACTTCAGGACATGCCAAACTCAGTATCAGTCATGTGCCCATTATCAATCTCATCCAGATTTTTTTGGGGATCCCCAGGGCAGGCAAAAGAAACCAAAAGTGAAAAGGAGAAGGAGTGAGAGCGGCAAGAAACCAGTGGGGAAGGGAGTTCCATGGCCTGCTGCTGCAGCCACCTTTTGCTTTACTATGAGGCTTGACACTTGAGGCTGGAGAAGAGTAAGGTAGCGTTTATTCCTGGGAGCATTCTGGATACTATTATGCATCACTGTCTGCGCCCTAAGGGATATCTATCTTTAGTTGTGCATCTGAATAAATTAATATTATTATAATACATTAGGATACTTTAATGATTTTAGACTTTATTAAGCTATTTAAAATGTATGCCTTGTTTACTCTATCAATTTTAATGAAATTAATAAATTTAGATCAGAGACTTTTGGGCTGCCTTATAAGGGACAGTTTGATTTACTTTGGGGGGGACCTTGAAGCCCCACATGGAATAAACAAAGGCTACAGTGCAGGGCCACCTCTCGCAAATAACAGTGGGTCCTATACCCTTGACAACCTCGGCAATGACTGAATCTCTTCATTCTGCTTGAACTGTTTTCTTTTTTATTGATTTTTGTTGAGTTCTACACTTTTCTCTGCTCCCCTCCCTGCCTCTCCTCTTTCCCCTCCAACCCTCTCCAAGGTCCTCATGCTCCAAATTTACTCAGGAGATGTTGTCTTTTTCTACTTCCCATGTAGATTAGATCTATGTAAGTCATTGCCAGGAACTGCCACCAGCATCATCTCCCTGGCCATGTGAATGTGTGTGTGCATGTGTGTGAGTGTGCGTGTCTTTGTGCATTTATCTGTATCTTTGTGTGTGTGATTGTGCATGTCTGCATGTGTGTATCTGTGTCTGTGTGTAATGTACCTGTGTGTATGTATCTATATATGTGTATGTTCATGTGTGTCTATGTGTGTTTGTGTTTGAGTGTGTGAGCGTTTGTGTGTGGTTGTGCATGTATGTACATGTGAGTGCATATGTGTATATGTGTGTGTGATTGTGAGTGTCCGTGTATGCATGTGTATGTATATGTCTTGCATATAAGCATCTATGTGTTAGTGCATATGTGCATGTCTCCGTGCGTGTATATGTGTATGCATGTGCATATTGTGTGTGCATGTGTGTATATATACATGTGTCTATATATGCATGTATGTGTGTGTATGTATATCTGAATGAAAATTTATCTTTGACAGCCTTGGTGTAAGAGACATGGACATTTGTAAACATTTTCTTAATTACAAGTAAAATCTTGTGTAGATTATTTCTGAATGTTTATGGAAGGGTCACAGATGAAAGATTTCTGAGAACCAAAGAGCTTGCAAGAACTATTCCATGGTGGTGGAGTCTCTGACAGAAACTTCCTCCTGGATAGGATCCTGGGAGCTCAAAAGAAACTCTGAAACCTGATATATCTGTCCCTATGGAATGTATACCTAATCCCATTTTGTTTCTGGGCATTCACTACAGTCATTGGGAGTTATTAGTGAGTGTTTCTTTGAGCCATCTTTTGTTCTGCGAATCAGTAATCAACTTGAAATGGTATTTCTCTTGGTGTTTTGTCTTTCCAAACTATTTCTGATAGACTGTGGAGCCATCCCGAGTGTCAGAGTAACGGGGTTGACCCATGGACCCTACCTGAAGATTTATGAGACCCAAGCTCTGCTACCAACTGCTCCAACTTGTGCAGACAATTAGGAAATGCTTTGTTTTCTGCACACAGAAGGAAGAGCATGGGCACCTGTCGGCACTCTCTCTTAGGAGCCAGCGTCTATCGGCAGCTCAGAGTGCCCCCTCCATACAGCAACGGGCGAGTTTCACTCTGAAGAGGTGAACATCTGAACAGCCCAGACTGTCAGGGCAGATCACCTATGTGCAGACAGGTACTGTAGGCAGATCCTTGACTCTCCTGAGTTCCACAGAGAAACTGCCTTGGTCATTTGAGAGGACGTTATTGTACCACTGGTTGGGAGTTTGGGTATTTCTTCAGCTATAGCCCAAATAGTGGTAGGTGTGCATTACCTTCTGAACCGGCTGAGTTTCTACCTTTCGTATGTGCATCTGATTGTGACATTTTCTACAGGTGTGTGAGTTTTGGAACCATTGGTGGGACTGAAGCTTGCTGCCTGCTTTGACTACATCCCATTGCTGCCTTTGCACAGGCTCCAAAGGTCCCCCAGGATCACGGGAGCCTTTTGGCTATGTTAAAGGATTTGGGAGGGGGCATGACTCCAGAGCATTAGAGGCAATTGGAAATGAGGGGAGCATGGACAGGACCCCATATTTGGAGGACAAGTGATTCTTACTGTTAGCTTTTAGGAGCTAACAGCCACAGAACCAAATCTGACTTTGAAAGACAGGTTAAGACAATCTTAATCAGCGTTAAAATACCTTTTATGGAGAACAGGAGGCTCAGGGCTCTGGCAGAGATGTCTTAATGGAAGGAAGAATTGAGGCTCCATTTACTACAGACATGGACAAGATTGCCTCATGCTCATGGATATTTCTTGGGCAACCAAATGAGATTGTATCTGAGCAGAAGGCTTTGTGACTTTCAGAAAGCAGAGCAGCGCTCTCCACCATAACAGTCACACAGATCACCACAAATGAACCTTCCAACCTGGGTTTCCAGAACCATACACAGGCTATCTCGGAGGATGCACAAGCTCAGAGAGCGGAACAAGGGGAACTGCACACCGGTGTATCTAACCCTGTTTAGCCATGTTTAAGCCATGGGGGCTGCTAGAAAGCCATTGAGAGGAAGATTTAGAATTGTGGACAGTGTAAGTTAATTAGAGAAATGATTGAGAAACTGAAACTCTCCCTATTACAAGACATGTATATAAAACATTTCCAAACATTGAGGCAAAAACATGGTTGCTTAGAGCGAAGCATGCTGGGACAGCCTTCATGATTGAGATAAACCTTCTTTTGGTATGGGAGGCGGCAGCCTATCAGTTTATCAGCTTCTGATTCTGATTTCAAAAGCAGAAGATAAGGAAACAGCTAAGGGGTAAAGCGCTTGCTGGTCATTAGGGTCCATGTTCACTCCCCCAGGAAAAGCCAGGGTGGTGGGAAATGCTTATAATCTCGGAATTGGGAAGACAGGGGTAGGAGGCACCTACCAGCCCAGCCAATATGGTGAATTCTGGTTAGGTGAGAGGCCTCTATGTCCCAGAGACAAGGTGGAGAGATCTCACTGCCTCTTCTGTGGAAAGGGAATGAACCTGGGTATGGATATTTGACCTCTACATGTACATCTAGGGGTAAGCACACTAACCACACATGAACATGCATTCAGTGTTCACGTGCAAATACAATAAAGCCCAGACAACTGTTTGCATCACATTCATGCTCATTCATTGTGACCATATGCAAGTTCTTGTGTGGTTTTATGGATTTCCTTTACAGATGTCAGCTGAGTAGTTATGATTGTGATCTGTGTGTGTAAATCCTACACACAGTGCTTCAATAGAATGGCAGAGAGTATTTAGTTTAATATTTAGACTTAAAAATGGCAGCTTCACAAAGTTCCACTTACCATTTTTCTTGGTTATATTCCTTAGATTTGGAGGAAAATACAAATCTACAGAGATAATACCCACTCCATTCCATATTGTAGCCTTCAGTTAACCCACCGCAGTCTTCACTTCTGGCTTGGTATGAGCTACTGAAGAGTTTTGAGTGAATCTACTACTGGGAAATAAAGTGAAATCTCTTGGCTCATATCTTTCCTTGCTCAATAGCTCTTGCCAAGATTTCTGGGACATCCCTAGGGCAGAGCCATACCAAGCAGAAGTTAAAGAGTGGTGTTAAACCCCTTGCTTAGCTCTCTGTTTGCATGTACGACTTCTCCTCTACAGGCCTGACAACGAGAGATTATTAACACACAAGCCTATAAAACAAAACATTAAACTTTTACGTGGTGAAGTAAGGCAGGAATAAGACTTATTAAGGAAGCAGAGTACAGACTGCAACCCCTATTGCTTTTGAAGTGTCCTTGTGTAATCCATGCCCAGGCCCTTGAGAGGCATGTTGCCTCTCAAGTAAACATGGTTTCTAGGAAGAGACAGACAGAGCAGGGAGAGGTATCAGCAGTGGGACATCAGCAAGCATCTCTGAGATCACAAGAGGCAATGTGGACGTTTCTCCTGGAAAGCTATTAGCTCCTCAGCCCCCGCGAGAGCCCTCCATCCTGCTTGCCCATAGGGGATGCTGAGGTTCAGTCAAGCAAGTTGCAGAAATTGCTGAGAGTTAGTATTGGCACACAAACATTAGCACAAAGTGCTTGAAACACAGTGATGCTCACAAGGCCCTTACTTCTTCTCTCCTTTGTACCATTCGAAGGCTGGCGGCGGCACACCTGCACCCTCGCATCTTATCAATCCACTGCGTCCGGGGGTCACGGTGCCAGACTTAATTTCCTGAATCGTAGGTGCAACTGAAAGAGAAACAAAAACACCTTGGTGGGTAAAGAGAAGTAATCTTCAGCAGAGATAGCACAGACACACAGGCACACACAGGCACACAGACACACACACACACACACACACACACACACACACGCACAGGGATACGCACGCGCATGCGCATGATTCAATGCCTTTTATATTCAAAACAATCTCATGCCTGGCAGTCCAGTGCATCCAAGCCCCTGTGTTTTATGCTTCAAACACCAGACCAGTCATTTTCGGCTCCATTTTTTAAGCTGGACAATAGATGAATGTTCTTGGGGAGTACAGAGTAAATGCAATACATTTTGGCTGGGTTTCTATTGGAAAAATAGCACAGTGAGATGACCACCTCATCTGTATCCCGGTCAAACCGCACTCCATCTAATCCTCCTTTATTGAACGATCACAGGCAGCTGGCACTTGCCGGCTGCTTCAGGTTCTTGATTTCCTCACATAACGCTCTGAACTTGGGTGACGTGTTTTCCATTTTACCTACATGAAAACCTAAGTGCAGAGACATTCAACACTGAATGAGGGTGAGACAGCTACTCTGATGCACAGTTTGAAGTCAACCGTGGTGACTTTCGTGATGAGTGACTCTGTGATGTTGTCTTGTGTCTCCCTATGCTCTCCATTTCCAAAGCTCTGGAGTCTGTTCTGGATGCTGTGTCCTCCCTACTCCTCCCTGCGGCTCCAGCTAAAGCAACTTTCTTTGCACTGAGTGATTTATTGGAATTTCTCAAATCACGGACGTTAGTAGCCGAATGAGTATTGAGCCTTCAACATGTTGCAGACAGTTCTCAAAGAGCAACAAAGTCAAATTCTTCACACAACTAAGCATGAGTCATAGATAGGGTGGGTGAGTCAGAAAGAGACTACAAAGAGCAAATGTCATAGCTAAACGGCTTAGATAAAATTAACAGTGTTAGGGAGTAGCAAATGGACTGTGGTGTGTGTCATGCATTGGTAGCACACATGCTAGCATTTTGTGGGCCCTGAGTTCACAGCAGCATCACCAGAAAGATATCAAGGAAGGCAGCAGTTTCATCTAGGCATCTCAGGTGTTCTTTCTGGTGTATGTGATTGCAGAAACTGCGAGTCCTCCCCGAGAAGGAAGGATCTTGAAACAATAGATGGGTGTGTGTGTGCTAGCTTTGTGGATATCTGAAGAAAGCCTCCCAGGTAAAGAGAATAGCTAAGCCATGAGACCCTGGAGCCACAGTAATTCTCAGAGAGGGGATAGGATCAAAATGAGTGCACATGGAGGCCAGGAAAGACCCTACAGGGATCTAAAGAAATGGCGCACTGTATCACAGGGATATCGCCAGATTTGTGCCTCACAAGGGTCATGGGATGCTGTGCTGAGGAAGGGCCTGTCTGAGGTCAGAAGAGATGAGAAGGGAAGCTCTGGGGACGGCTGCGGGGGGGGGGGGGCACTCTGTGCTGACACACAAGGATGGGGAAATAGGTTTTGTGCACACTTGCTGGGTTCCACTGAGAAGTTGGGGCCAACAGAACTTCTTGACAGAAGAAAATAAGACGTGAAGACACCAGGAGGCAGGGGTGATTGGCTTAGAACACTGGAAGGTTTTCCAGGATAGCTTCTTGGTGTGATGGGAATGGTCAGGAAGAAGATGATGTCCACACGGTATGATGGAAAAGTCAAGCAGAAGGGGATATCCATGCGGTATGATGGGAACAGTCAGGAAGATGAGGATATTCATGCAGTGTGATGGGAATGGTCAGGAAGAAGAGGATGTCCATGCAGTATGATGAAAAAGTCAGGCAGAAGGGGATATCCATACAGTATGATGGAAATAGTAAGGAAGAAGAGGCTTAGGGGGGATCTTAAGAGTTGAATGAAAATATCTTTTCATGAGTATTGCACTTAGAGCAAGGTTTGGATATAACAGATTCTAAATGACACCACACAGAGCAGTCCCTACAACTGGAAACTAGATGTGCAAGTAACTTAAAAGTATGTCCTAGTAACTTAAAAGTGTGTACTAGTGATACATTTGAGGTTTCTGTAGAAAGCAATAAAATCTGGAGACTTTAATGTTTGATTCCAGAATCTTGTGACTATGGAAACAGTAAGCACTCTTACAAGAGAGTATTGTCTATCCTTTAAAAATCTATGCTAAATTCACCATTTTCTGTTTCTGGTACTTCATTTTGAAAGAATAACACCTCTATTATCTGGAGTAATTTTATTCTCAATAGTAAAGTTTAAGTTATACTCTAAGGAAATAATGTAAGGTAATAATTTTAATTGCTGTAATAACAGTGAAAATAATGAAAGAATGTTTATCAGAAATGTTTGAATGAGAAAATAATATGAAATAATATATGTGTGCATGTAATTAAAGATATGAATGTACATATAGAGGCAGGCACACAATATAAGGAACAATTAAATAATCCATTACTTTTATTTTGAGTAGAGATGGAGAACGCAGCTGAAGACAAATGAGGCCCCTCCCACAGCATCAGTAGCTCTGTGTCTGCTTGCTTGAGAGAGGTGGAGGTAAGGCATCTTGCCAAGCTGCTTTTCTGAGCCTCTTGTCATCATGATAACAGGCTATAGTCTCTTATGATTTCCAACTATCATTGAAGACAAAAATCACCATATTCAGAAGCTATCAGAAGCTTCTGCTGATGGTAGGGTTAGGGAAATTAGTCTCCCATTTGTCAAGGGGGCCATGACTCATTACAAACAAATGCATGAAATCCCAAACATTGCCTGAAAACCCAGGCGTAATGAACCAAAATAAGAACCTAATTCACCATTGAAAGGCTTTTATACAGTCCAGTGTGCAGATGGCTGGACACTGGGTGCTTGACAGTCAACGTTAAAGAGACAGTACCCTATCTGGGATCATGTAGACATCTCTGCAAAGACACTCACCATGGCAAGAAAATGCATCAATAATGAATAGAAATATACATTAGAAAATGTCCCAAGTACTTATCGTGTGGTTGAGAGAATCAGAACTGAGGGCTGTGGGGTTCTACATGTGCAGAGAGCTTCTCATGGGCATTTTGTTTCATGCCTACAGCTACAAAGTGAGCTAAAGTCTCTATTTATTTTTCTTAGAAAAATGAAAATTCATATTATATTTTAGTGCTATTGTGCATCTTTTGCAAACATTTTGTGGGGAACATGATTCACCTAATTATTCATTTTCCCATAATTATTAAATTAAATTAACTTCTTAAAACATATAATAAATATATAAAATAAATATATAATAAATATAAAAAAACTGAATGATAAAAGTCCCTTTGTACAACTGGACACAAACTCCAATGCACATGAAAGCAGTTTGAAGGAAGCTCTTTTATAAGGATCAATGGCCGAGCTCATTACTTGTGTGGGAGGAGTTGAGTGGAGAATCAAACTTTGGGAAAAGTAGCCATGAGTGGGGTCTACACGTAAGTGAAACAGGTAAAAGCCCAGAGGATGGTCAATGACTTCCAGGGGACATTTGAGAGGACATGGTGTGCATGCTTCTGTGATCTGTGTCCTGAAGCATGTGATAGACCAGCGTAGCGGCTTTGGATGCTGTACTGTGGAGATGAACCTTGACAGATGTTTGAGCAGAAGAGTGGCATTTGCTTAGATCCATGCAGTCATGGGCTGATAGCTGGAACAGTGAGCCAAGGGAAAGGAACAGAACAGGCAGACTTGTTGGGAGCTGCCCCGAAACCCCTCAGAATGACAAGAAAGCCATGGGACTTAGAGAAGGCAGGATTTGTGAAAAAACAGTTAAATAGATCATTGGCCATAGGTGGACCTAACTAGTTGGCCGGTAGCAGCTAGATGATTTAGGGAAATCCAGGTTCACAGTGCTTCCAACCCCAGGAGTTTGTTTAGACCCCAGAAATTTCTGGGGAAGCAAAGATTGCATCCCCACAGTGTTTCTCAGGGGTCACACTGGCAACACAGTATGATGGTCATAGCATTCCAGAAGGACTTGTATGGGCTATTTGTGGGCTTCTTATTTCTTAAGACATATTCTGGTCTGTAGGACCTATACCGTGCCATGGGTCACTGAAACCATAACTTGTAGCAGAATTGCCTTCCACAGGCTTCGACTTGCTTAGGAGCCAAAGTAATTTAGTGACTTTGAGTAAAGAAGAAGTTGCAACTATTTGCGTTGAGGGGGTAGGGTTACCCACTTGCTCAATAAACCTTATGCACAATTAAATTTCCAACTGAACCAGTAACAGCTGAAATCATAAATATGTTGGGCCAACTTGTGCAAAATAGCAATTCTATAGAAAAATGTTCTAAGTTTAAGAAAACGGATTAGTCTCTGCTCTGAAAAATGATTAAACGGGGTGACCGTTCTGTGAGTTTCTTTCTGTGCCAGCCATGAATACGGTGTCTAAAGAGGGGACACACGTATTGTCAAGAGCTTGTGTTTGAAAACCATTCTTCTTTTCACAGAAACTCTTTGGACCCATTCAAATGTAACATTTCTAAGACACTAAAGTGGCAAAGAAAGCCAGTGCTTGAGCCCTCAAATGTTATGAGTACAATGGTGTTCCTTGTGACTACACTGGGCACATTTGAGCACAATGCTCTTTACCAAGTCTTACGTGCCTGTAGGCTGGAGCAGAAGCACAGAGAAAAACAACCGATTTCAGAACAATGTCATCAGACAGATTTTAGGTACACGCTAAGAGCAGATGCTGGGAAAGCCAGCACAAAAGTCAACCAGGGGCTGCTCAACACTTGTATGATTAGATGTTCCACAAAGAGGAGTCTTTCCTTTTCATTGTCTCTGTGGGGTTAATTCCTTGTGTTGTGGAGCCAGTCACTTCAAAAAGACGATAATGAAAGGTTCTTCATCAAAACTCCAGGCTGTGCAGGTGCAGAAAGCAGAAATGCTCTACTTGGCACCCAAAAGCTTAATCAGACTCATTTGCATAGTGACGTGACAACAGCCCAAAGGCCTCCTTGTCTTTTGCCATCCTCAGT